CGCTGCGGCGGAAAAGGCACCGAAGGTGCGCTAGCAGCCTTTTGTGGCGCACCTTCGGCAATTTGCGGAAGGAGCGCTATTTTAGCGCTCCTTCCTGGGGCAGCGAAGCTGCGCTGCGGGGCCGAGGAATGTGGATGCTTCAGCCCCAATCTACAGCTTCCTGGGGTGGCTCTGTGCCGCCCGTCTGCTTAGGCCCAATGTGACTTGTCTAATGTCACCCAGTGGGTTTCCATAGACAAACATGAACTTGAACCCTTGTCTCCCAGTGCCCTACTCCAACACTGCGTTGACTCTTGATTTAACTGTACTTGTATATAAATTATTGTTACAAATGTGAATGATTTTTCCTTCCAGCTTCAGCAAGTGTGAATATTGGTCAGCTGGAACACCAGCTCATATTATCGGTAGATCCTTGGAGAATCCGCCAGATCTTAATTGAATTGCATGGCATGACATCAGAACGCCAATTCTGGACAGTTTCTAACAAGGTAGTCTTATTTTTCATTAAGTGCTTTAAGTGTGGAATATCACAGTTAACACTGAGTATATTTCTATTTGTTTTTCTTTTAGTGGGAAGTACCAAATGTTTATGGCAATGTTATCCTAGGAATTAAAGATAATTTGACCAGAGATTTGGTCTACATCCTGATGGCAAAGGGGCTACATTGCAGTACAGTTAAGGTGAGGAAACTGTTACTTCTTCTGTAAAGGCTACTTATTAACCTTGAATGTAACTAGTACAATAACTTTCTAATGATAATTCTTTTTTACATTTAAAGTGTTACGATGTGTCACATAAAAATATACTTTTTTAAGCACATACACAAAACCTAGGATCAAATACTAAAGGGATAAGAATTGAGGTGAATTACACCTCTCTTTTTAATAAGGTCAGTAGTCTTTGCCCCTAAATACTACCAGTTTTATTGCATTGTAAACTTTGCTAGACTTAAATTTGTTGATTTTAAGGACTGTACCTCAGGACTATTTTAATACGTGAATACCATTAATCCTTTTTCAAATTCTAGTTTTGGAACAGAAAATCAGACAAACTCCTCACCTTTTCTTTTACCACAGGATTTTGTTCATGCAAAACAGCTTTTTGTTGCTTGCCTTGAACTTGTGACAGAGTTTTCTCCAAAGCTCCGCCAGGTCATGCTAAATGAGATGCTACTTCTGGACATTTATACCCACGAGGCAGGAGCAGGCCTTTCAGGAGAGCGTCCTCCTTCAGACCTAATTAGCAGAGTTCGAGGATACTTAGAAATGAGGATCCCTGGTAAGAATGCTTGGCAAGACTTGTATACTAGTATGAGACTCCTGCAAAAATTGTAGGAGGTTAGCTGTGACCACATATTAGAGATCTTAGTGTTAGCATTATTCTGATATATTTGTATATGTATATGTGTCTTCAAATTGCCTGTCAACTTATGGCAACCCCATGAACTATCTTGACAAGGTTTTTTTTTACTCCCAATACATTTGCAATAGCAAATAAAAATACAAGAAAAAGCTAATAAATATCCTGTCATGGATGGCGTTGTGTCAAATCCTTATTTCCAAGTCTCAATGTCCATTGCTAAAAGTCCTTGCTTTTGTCCAGGCGTCTACATTTGGTTACTCTGGTCATTTAATTGGTTTCATTTCATCAGCCCTTTGTACAGTTCTTTTAGTCAGTTTTATAAAATCTCCAGTCATTATTGAGATGTAGAGATACATACTTCTGACCACCCCAATCTGGCCATGAATCCCAGTAGATCATTTTCCCACTTGGTTAACTAGCATTTTACATCTAAAGCAACCTCCACCATTTTCATTGTGGCCTCTGATATTTCAAAAAAGCAACATACACATACAAAGTAGATCCATGATCTTGAACTCTGACCACATCTTCACTGAATCTTATATTCTATGTTTATTTTGAAATGTTTGATTACTCTACAATTACCTTCTAGATGTTCCTTTTCGGCAAGTTGTAGCAGAGGAATGTGTTGCCTTCTTATTAAATTGGAAGGAGAATGAGTACTTAACCATGCAAGTTCCTCTTCCTCTGGTTCAGAATAATCCTTATGTTAAGGTATGTTTCAGAATTAACACCAGCTCCACTTGTAACGAGAATTTTAAACTGACTGTAGTCTTGTTTCTGCGCTATACAAATACAATCTTTTATAAAACTTAATTTATCTGGAATACTTTTTTTTTTTTTGCAGTCTGTATTTTTAGATTCTCCACTTTCTGGCCCTCTACCTAGTGAAATGTATTCATAACTAAATCTTCATCAATAATATTTGCAGTTGTTTTTATAACAGGAAAGTTTACAACATGAAATTAAATATACATTACACAATTAAATCAAGTCTTATTACAACACAATACAATAATAAAATAAAATGTAGTAGGAAATCATGCTGAGTTCAGTAGACTGATTCCTGAACAAGGTTGTAGAGAACCGCAGCCTATCTTTTCACAGAAAAAGCAACACTTTTTATTTATGCAATGGGCTATATTTTAAATCACAAGGAGAAACAGAAAGAACATTTTTAAAAGAGGGCATAGTAATTTTTGTAAACATTCATAGATGAGAGAAATGTAAGTACTGCCATGAGCAAAAATGGAATGTGTGAAATTATAACAGTCTTAGAAGTGAAGTCGTAGGCTTTCATGGCCGGCATCCATAGTTTTTTGTGGGTTTTTCGGGCTGTGTGGCCATGTTCTAGAAGAGTTTCTTTCTGACGTTTCGCCAGCATCTGTGGCTAGCATCTTCAGAGAGTTCTCTGAAGATGCTAGCCACAGATGCTGGCAAAACGTCAGAAAGAAACTCTTCTAGAACATGGCCACACAGCCTGAAAACCCCACAAAAAACTATAGTCTTAGAAGTATTTGAAAGAATTGCATCAGTCATATGCTTTTGCTAGTAATGCTTCATACAGAATCACAAGAAAGAAATAATGGCCAGAATGCTCTAGGACAGGTACAAATGCATAATGCAGCATTATGCAGTGTTATGTATTCATGTTCCCTATGTAGCACCTAGTTCAGCAGCTATGTAGGGCATGGAAGTCCCCCAGTCCTCACTTACCAGGAAGCAGCCACTGCTAGTGATGAGGATTTGTTCCCGTCAGTTGGGAAGCAACTGACTGAAGGTCCCATCCATTGCATGAGGGGGAATTGCGACAGGTATCTTGTTTGGCTGTTGAACCAGAGATCGCTCACAGGAGGTGATGGAAATGACAACCAGCTGCTTCCTGGGCGATGGAAACAGGCCCGTGTCCATTGTAATGGCTGCTCTCTGGTAAGTGTGGATGGGAGTTGTGGGTTGTGCCAGAATTCACTTCACAGCACCATAATTAAGGTGCTTATGCATCCATAAATCCCCTACAAGATTCTGGCTTGTCATGCTAAAATTCAAAAAGAAAATGACAACATTTGCAAGATATATCAGATTTAAAACACAACTAAGTAAAAGTAACATACTAATGTTTGTAAACAAAATATCTTTGAGATTCAGGGTGCCATGTTAAATCTTGTTTTGATAGAATGTTAAGATTTGTATTTGGCTTGGAGTCTGCTTTCAGTCATCTGTACCTCCATTAGAATGAAGGTCTATAATTAGATTGATCTTATAAAAATCACTTGTAGTCCCAAGCTATTATCAGAGGAGCCATAAATCAGAGAGCTACATTAATAATGTTGTTACCTCACATGTAGTGTATCCGTTTTCCAATAAAGAGTTGTTTGTTTTTTTTTAAAAAAGCCATGGTCATGTAAATGTTCATGGGGACTCTCCTCAAGTAGCTCTCTGGATTGTAGTTAGGAATTTTGTCATCAAATTTGATTTCTTAGTTCTAACCAATTTCCTGTTGGAGCAGAAAGTACTGTGTCTTGAAAGCTGTTCTTTATTCTTTGTGGTGTGTTTTGCTTAGTTAGGACAGCTGTTGGCGGCCACATGTAAAGATCTCCCTGGACCAAAAGAAAGTAGACGGGCAGCTAAAGACCTCTGGGAGGTTGTTGTACAGATCTGTAGTATATCCAACCAGCATAAACGAGGGAATGACGGCAGAGTGAGTTTAATAAAGCAGAGAGAATCAACATTAGGCATTATGTACAGGTAAGTTTCTGTAGTTTGCTTGTTATATGACGACTCAATGACAAAATAAGCATCCTTGAACATTGGGATTTCTACAGCCATTACTTGGATTTATCAAAACATTGCTCCATCCAATTAACCTGATTGTTTTTAATTAAATGAGAAATTGCTATATAAGGGGAAAAAGCTTGATGCTTACAAGAGTTTGTAAAATAGTACACACACATACACACAATCAATCAATCCTGTTTAAATATAGGAATATTATTTCCATCAATTAGATGTATATTATTGTTCCTGTGTTGTTGTGTTGAAGTTTGTGCTGAAAATCTTGTACATCATCCCTTTCTTTCTGGCAGATAACAATTGTATAAATACTGAAAATTATTTAATCATACCCAAAGACATTCTTTCTTTTTTTTCCAGGAGTGAACTGCTATCTTTTATCAAAAAGCTAAGGGTGAGTTTTGTTGTTAAAGGTTCTGAAAAGGATTGAAGCATGAAAAGTCAGTATTTTTTATTGTTTCGTAGGAAAATGTTATGCTAGAATGCACCATTTTTAATAATAAAAACATAGATTATTTTTGCACAGAATTGAAATAAAAGATACATTATGCAGAGGAGGTGTTACCTAATTCATTATTTGTTTGCATGACTGCATCAGATTTCAGGTAGATGTTGGAATAAATTTGATACACTTCAATAAAGAGCCACATATATGGTGATTATTTCTGTGGGCTTTGGAGCTGATGGACTTTTGACTCAGATTTTTTAAAACAGCAATGACTTCTTCTCAAAGTAACTGCCTTTTTTGTTTAGGTGGGTTGCTTGATATTACTCCTTGCTTTGTTGTTAAATTGACAGACAGAGAGAAAAGTGTTGAAGTGAGAAATGCACATGTGTATACTGTATAGCCAGTATGGTGTAGTGGTTTGAGTGCTGGATTATGATTCTGGAAACCAGGCTTCGAATCCCCGCTCAGCCATGGAATCCCAGTGGGTTATCTTGGGAAAATTATACTCTCTTAGCTTCAGAGGAGGGCACAGTCAAAAATGCTTTCTCAACAGATCTTGCCAAGAAAACCCTGTGATACCCTTAGGGTCTCTGTAAATCAGGAACTTGAAGGCATACAGCAACCATACTGTGTGTACTACATATTAGAGCTTCAGGAAACATCATCCTGCTTTCAGTTTGATGTCTCCCATTAAAGTATCCTTCAGTTGCCATATCTCTAACAGTGCAGTAACTTAAAACATCAGTTGAGTATTTAGAAATATAATTATAGAAAGAAAAGAGGCAGGCGAAATTGCTAGGGGCATGCAAATAGTGCAAATGTAAGAGTTTTATATATGAACAGTTCTCAGTGTCTCACTATCTTTAATGCTAGAAATTTGGAAGCAGAAAGAAAATTTCATTGGGACAGAATTCTTATTTGAAGTGTCAGTGCCCTCATTTTGCCCTCCTTTATGAAGTTTCCCTATAAATAAACTTGTATACATACACTAAAGTACAGTGCAATACAATAATAAAGTAAAATTTAATAGGAAATCATGCTGAGTTCAGTAGACTGATTCCTGAACAAGGTTGTAGATGACTGCAGTCTATCCTTTCACAGAAAAAGCAACACTTTTTATTTCTGCAATGGCTATATTTTAAATTGCAAGGAGACATAGGAAGAGAGCATTTTTAAAAGAGAGCATAGTAGGTTTTTTTACCTTGTAAACATTCATTAACAGATTAGAGAAATGTAAATACTGTCATGAGCAAAAATGGAATTAATGTGTGAAGTATTTGAAAGATTTATCAATCAGACATCTAGTGTGTTGTGAATATAGAACTTTTATAGGTTTGTGGAAACAGCATGAAAGTCTGTCTAGTGCTGAAATGAACCATTGTTTTATGTAATTTTTTGCTTTTCCTTTATTCTTATAGGAACCTCTGGTTTTGACAACAATATTATCCTTGTTTGTGAAACTTCATAATGTTCGGGTCAGTGTTCTCTTTATCATAAAACTTTGGTTTTGATATCTATCATCTCTTGACACATTTCATTTATGATATCTTTCCTTCTTCTAGGAAGACATTGTGAATGATATTACAGCAGAGCATATTTCAATTTGGCCATCATCCATTCCTAAGTAAGAATTTTTTTCTCCGGCCTAGCTTCAATTATAATACTAGAGAAAAATATGTCTGTCTAGATATATATATAGACTGTGCACTAAATCCAATGTGGCACTAGTGGTAGCATCAAGATTCAGCCCCTCTTCCTTCCAAGCTGTTCCAGGGCTGATAATTTCCTCTGAACAGTTTCATAGCCCTCTAAAACCTGTTTTAAACATCTTAGGACATGTGGAGGGAGAGGGGATTGTGCTGCACCCATCAAAAGCTGCTTCTGTGGACACAACTGACATTTTTTCTAGCCCTGGAGAACAGCTTTACAGTGTACATGCTTTGCTCTCAGCAATAGTCAAGTGTGGGGAAACCTTTACAAGTAATAAAGCAAATTTTTAAAATCTTAAATGTGTTTCTGAATCAGAAGTTTGGAATTAGATGCTTATCAGTGTGTGAGGATTGTGGTAAAGGATATATGGGATATGGATGAAGGTACATTAAATAAGAATTGTTCTAAGTCTAGGTCCAGTATAACACCCAAGAATGGAGTCCCATTTTATGGCATATAACCCTTGGTGAGGTGTTTGGGGAAAGAATTCTTAATCTTCCCTGACAATATTGATGGGAAAAAATGGGTGAAATGTCTGGAGATTCCAGGTGTAAAGAAGCCCCTTTCTCTTCTTGGATAGACTGCTAGAAATAGATACTCCTCAGATTAAAATATTTCCTTCTCTCCATTGATGGCAGACAGCAAAAATGAAGTACATTGCAGCCTCTATGGTTCTTGTTGATCTCCTCCAACAATACTCTGCATGATTGTGCCCAGCATCCCCCTACAAAAGTATTTAAGAAAAAATGTTTCTATCATGTTTGATGACTTCAGGTTTTTAGCTAGATTTGAAATGTAAATATAGTGGCTAATGATTTAAAACATTATCTTTTTAGCTTACAATCAGTGGATTTTGAAGCTGTATCTGTTACTATCAAAGAGTTAGTCAGTTATGTGCTGACTATAAATTCAAACAATCACTTCTGGTTAATCATTCAGGCAGATATTTATTTTGGTAAGTAAAATCTATCACTTTCTTAATTGATTTCCAAACCTGATTGCCACATCTGATTTCTATTCACTTTATTGACTGGAACTTCTGTATCAGGAGCTCTAAAAACTATACCATCCCTGCCTCATAGAACTTGGAAAAGTTACTTTTTAACAAAAATCATAGAACTTCCCCAACCAGTATGGCCATTTGCTGTGGAATTCTAGGAATTCTAATACAAAAAAATAGTTTTCCCAAGTATAATGTTATTGATTTTAGAAAACATCCTGTAGCAGTCCCTGATGTGTTTGTTAAAAACCAGTGCTACCGCATCTTATGGATTTCCTTAAAGCCTCAAAAGTGGGCAGTTACAAGAACTGATTTTTCCCCCTTTTCATTGTTCTTTAGACAACCATATCAAGGAATATCCTTTGATAATTCTATCTAAAGAGGCAACTTGTTTGTTTCTTCTTTTACATTACTCTTTCCTGTCTCTGGATAGAAACTGAGCTAAAGAAATAGTTACATAAATGTTATTTTAGGTCTGTGTAAGTTCTGTTGATTCAGTGGGTCTACTCTATTTGGGACTAAAAGTTGGATTTAGTATGCAAAGAGATCTTGTAGCACCTTTGAGACTAATTGTGCTTTTCATAGAGCGAGTTATGAAAGCTCATACTACAACTCAAAGGTGCTGTAAGATCCCTTGGCAAACTGATATTTCAGACTAACTAAGCTGGATCTTTGAATTCTACCCGAGTTGGGTTTAGGCCTGACTGAACTTGGCATTAAATGCTTTTGCTTTTATTTGTGTCTCCAATGTAGCAACTAATCAGTATTCAGCTGCCCTTCGCTACTACCTTCAGGCAGGAGCTGTGTGCTCAGATTTCTTTACTAAGATGGTGCCACCTGATGTTTATACTGATCAGGTGAGTTCTCTGGTAATGTGGCAGTAAACTAATAGGATGTATAGGCTTGTACTGTGCTCTGCAACTACAAAATAGGGAACTAAGGGGGGAAGCAGACAGTGCTTTGCGCCGTCTTGGAGGCAAGGAAGGGGAGGGGCAGCCTCACACTGGGCGCCCCAACCCCTTCCCAAACACGTCTTCGGAGCGCCCGTCGCTCCACATGATGGATGCTCCAACAATGTACTTCCGCCACAGCGTCTGCACACGCTGCAGCAAAAGAGACACCGAAGGTGCGCCCAACGCCTCTTGTGGCACACCTTCGGCGTCTTGTGGAAGGAACGCTATTTTAGTGCTCCTTCCAGGGCCCAAAAAGGGATACATTGGGGCCGAGGAGTGCGGCTACCTCGGCCCCAATCCGCAGTTTCCTGGGGCGGCCCATGGCCGTCCGTCTGCTTAGGCCCTAATACAGAAAGTTTAACAAAACAGGTTTACTGTAGTAAAGAGCCCATCAATCCAAGTTCAAAATTCCAGGCCTACTAAACATTTGAATCTGTGGTTTCCTCTCATCGATGACAGTGCCATGAGCCATAAGTAAAATGCATTCATTGATTGCTTGAAGGGCTGCCAGAATCTTTTAAGATTAATCAGATAAAGGTGCTGTCTATGCATATTAGATATGTGAAGAAGCATTCTTGGCACTTTTTCCTCAACTTTACAATTCTCTTGTGCAGTTTCCTACGCTTCTGTGTCAGGGGTGGTGGAGAGGAGGGAACTTGGGTCGTCAGAAGTTAATAACATGCTCCACCCATCTAACTTCACCTTTGGCCAGCTAAGGCTGATGCTCAGCAACTTCTGCACAACCACAGATGCTCTAGAGCAGGGGTAGGCAACCTTTCCCCTTTAAGGGCCGAGGGACTTCAGCTCCCAGAATCCCAGGAACTATTGGCCAACATGGGACTATTGGCCAACATGGCTGAGGCTTCTGGGAGCTGAAGTCCCTCGGCCCTTAAAGGGGAAAGGTTGCCTACCCCTGATCTAGAGAATGTCTTTAGAAGTTGCCTAGGAGTGGGTAGAATAATTAGTATTCTGTTGTCCAGATGGAGTCCTTGGAACATGTCAGGCTACAGATCACCTAAATGATCAATATAGAAGTTTTTTTAAAGTTTTAAATATATTCTGATGAGCAGTATAGAAGTTTTTTTAAGTCTTAAATATATTCTGAATTATTAATTGAAAGTGTCCCCATGGAGTAAGACAATACCCATGGATGGTAGAATTGAGTTGCCTACAGACTGGCCATCGATGTCTGAATAGGCCTTATGTCTCATGAAATATTCGTTTACTACTTCTTGGAGAGGGGAAAAGAAACTTCCAATTTAAATCCATATTAAGCATTACTCTGTTGTTCTACTCTGCTAGGCAAGGTCAGTGATTGCTGAGGAGGAAATCATGAAGTAGATTTGCAGTTGAGTACTAGACCAAAAAACATGGGGCCTGCTCTGCAGTGCACCTAAATGTATTTTAATTCTTGCATTCGGTTATTTTTTAAAAAATTAAATTCTTCATTACATTAGAGGTGAAACATCTACGACTCCTGATATTAACTGCATTGCACTAGCACTCTCATAATCTCTTGCCATTGGTTGTGCTGCCCAGGGATGACGGGAGTTGCAGTTCAACATCTGGAGCATCACATATTCCTCATCCCAGCTTTATTTTTTTGTGTCCATTTTATTTCCAGTAATAAGCGGTAGATGAGGATATTACTTGAGATGTAATGCAAATGTTTTTTCTGGATTTTTGACAGCTCCAGATTAAAGAGTTCTAGTCTAGGCAAATCATAAGTCTGTGTTGTGAACAAATGGTTGATGGTTACTATATCAATTGTTCTATGTTCCTTTTTTGGCAGAAGTAAAGCCTCAGAC